GCAATCAGCAGCCACTGCAGCTTGAGTTCAATCCCTAGTCAAGAAGCTGACCCACATGGTGCAGCAGACCTCTCCTGTCTTGCCTGCCACTCCTCTCAGCATATATTCCAGTCAATCTGCCTGCGCTGCGCCCCACTGTCTCTGGTGAATCCTGTCACCTTCTTTCCATACCTCTGGCCTACACCCCAGCTCTTGTATGTGTAAATAAATTAAAAAAAAAAAGAAATAATTTCACTAAAGTTGCAATACATAAAAATCAGTTGTGTGTCCATACCCTAACAATGAACTATCAGAAAGATAAATTAAGAAAACAATTTTTTTAATTAATAATATATCCAAGTCAATCCATAAAATTGACTTGAACTTGTTGAACTTGTGTAGTTTATATACATGTTGATTCCAAAGACGCTCATCTGAAACTTATGTCATGTTATAATGCAACAATACTTCAATAAAAATTAAAATAAAATGAAGTGAAATTTTTAAAAAAGAATAATACATCTACTACTATATTTAACTAAGGAAGTAAGAGATCTGTATAAAGAAAACTACAAGACTGATGAAAGAAACCAAAATAGACAAAGAAATAGAAAGATCTTTCAAGTTCTTGGATTGGAAAACTTAGCATAATAAAAAATTTCATGTTATCCAAGGCAGTCTACAGATTCAATACAATTCCTATCAAAATTCCAAAGGCATTTTTCACAGAAATAGAATTAACAATCCTCAATTTTATGGAACCACTAAAAATCTTGAATAATTAAAAGAATCTTAAGGAAGAATAAATCTGGAGGCATAACATTCCATGACTTAAAACTGTATTATATATCTGTAGCAATGAAAAGTGTATTGGCATAAAAATAGACATACAGATCAATAGTATAGACTACAGAACCCATAAATAAACCTACACATACACTGTCAATGAATCTATGATAAAGGAGGTAAGAAAATATAATGTGGAAGAGGCAGCTTTTTCAATTAATGGTACTAGAAAAGCCTGTCAGCCACATACAAAAGAATGAACTGGAACACTGTCTAACAGTTACACAGAAATTACCACAAAATGGATTAAAGACTGATATAAGACTGAAACCAGGGCCTCCCCTGGTGGCACAGCGGTTGAGCGCTGGGTTGCGAAGCTACCTGCAGCCTCTGCAGCGCCGGTTCAATCCCCGGCCACCGAACGAGGGTCCCACATGGTGCGACAAACCTCTCCTGCCACGCCTGCTGCTCCCCTCAGCAGTGTATTTCGTCAGTCTGCCTGTTCTGTTCCCCGCTCTGGCTCTGGTGAATTCTCTCACCCTCCCGTGCTTCTGACTGTACCCACTGCTTGTATAAATAAATAAATAAATCTTAAAAAAAAAAAAGACTGAGACCATAAAAGTTCTAGAAGAAAATATGGATGGTAAATTCTGACATTAAACTGCAATTTTTCTGAATTTGACCCCCTAGGCTAGGGCAACAAAAGCAAAAATAAACAGATGACACTACACCAAACTAAAGTTTCTACACAGAAAAGGACACCATCAACAAAACAAAAAGGCAACCTACTGAATGGGAATAAATATTTATAATCTGGCTGATACCCCTAATATATGCCATATGCAGCAACATGGATGGATTTGGAAAGGATCATGTTAAGTGAAGTAAGTCAGAAGGAAAATATCTATTGGATGGTTTCATTTATATGTGGAATATAGAATATAAAGAAGGTGAACAAAGGGTCAGGAAAAATCAAAAGTTACAAGCTGACCTTAAAGCTGAGGCATACAGCAGGGGAGGGGGAAAGGAAGAGCACAAGGGACTATGGTGAAGGCTCACGGGTGCTGTGGTGGTGGGAGAACAACAGGGACCACCCCTGAGGAAGTAAACAATTAATGTACAAAAATGCACAATGATATAAGAAAATAAATTAATTCATTAAACAGTAAAAAACACAAACACATACAACTCAAAAAAATTTCAACTAAAAAATGGGTATTACAAATGGACGTTTTTCCCAAGAAGATGCACAGATGGCCAACAGGCAAATGAAAAGATGCTCAAGGTCACTTATCGGGGAAATGCAAATCAAAACCATAATGAGATACCACCTCATTCATGTTAGAATGTCCATTACAAAAAAGACAAAAAACAAGTATTGGCTAGGATATGGAGAAAAAGCAATACTAATTCCAAACTATGTTCTTCAAGAAACCAATTTCTTAATATGTGTGGATAAAATTTATTTTAAGTGAGAATATACGCTCCCTTTTTTAAAGGATATAGACCAACATCAGCTTAAATTCAGCACTTTAGCCTGCGGACCACTGTGTTTTACTTGTTATTAGGGAAAACTGCAAACATGAAAGTGTGAAAGTGTCATGTTAGCTAATTTAGCTAGCATAATTACATGCTACTTCAAGAACAAATGCTTAAAAATAATCACCAAAAATCCAATTTTATTATACTGTCATAAAAAATTAATTACAGAAGAAATGTCCTGGTTATTAAAATAAACAAGTCATTATTACTCAAATAGCATTTGAATATTAAAAAGCATTTCCTTGTATGATAATCATCTAATTGCCATAATCATAACTTTGAAAGTTCTATGTAATGCATGACCATTAACTTAGATTTTTCCCAAGTATATCTGTAGGACTGGTACCTTAAGGGATTTCAATGTAACAAAATGAAATGACACGTGAATTTTTCAGCTCTTACCCTATCTAATTTTACCTTTATTAGTAGAAGTAAATACAGTACTATTTATGATAAAACACTAAAAATATCATAGGCAGATTAAAGGCACTTAACAATAGTGACTTTATAAAATTCTTTTTAAATTTCATGTTTAGGTACTAGCTAAATATTAAATCAGCTAACAAATAAATGTAAATGGATTGTAAATTATAAGTATATAGCTCAAAAAGGAGACAAATAGTTGATTTACTAGAAAGCCTAGTAATAAACTTATTTATAGCTATATGGCAACATGAAAATACAGAGTGCAAGAATAACAGCAGTAAAACCACAAGCAGCAAATAAATACAAAGTCCCTATAAGGTAAGAATAATATTTTTAAAATGAATCAGAATAAAGTTGACGTATTATGAATGACCTAATTTCCACAATATAATTTTTAAGGTTTCTCATGAGGAAATGTGGCATAAAATAAAACATGATTCAAAATCACTATTATACAAGTCAGACATTTTAAAAAAAAACTAAAATGAACACAGAAGTTTTAACAGAACGAACTGATGAGAGTTTTTAAAAATATTCTACCCCTCCTGTACATAAAACTGAAAAAGTTGATTTTGTTAATGAAGTTACAGAGAATCAAAAGACAGAAAAATCTGATACTTTTGCAGATAAAGATGATGTAGTAGAAAAGATGTTAACAGTACTTCTGTCAGGAAAAAAATGTACTTTATCTAAATATTACTTTATACAATGTATGATTTACAGAAATTTCTGTTTATGGGGGCTTGGTTTTTGGGGTTTTTTTAAACTTCTAGGTTTCTTGTGGTCTATATCGTGCCTTCTAATTAAAAAAACTCTTAAATACGTGCATCTATTTCTCTCCATAAATAGAAGCTGCCATTTAATTCAACTGAACATAAATACAAAACCACAAATGCCAAAACAAAGACTATGCATTTATTATATACTTAACAAACTAGAAGCTTTTAAGTTCTGTTTTAAATGGAAATAGCCATTTCTCAAATAATACACAAAACCTGCTCCCTAATGTTGATAACACTTTAGCATACACAATAGGGGCTATCTCTAAACAATTTGTAAGTATATATTAAAAAAAATACTATTCTATATAATTTTACTTGTATAATAGTAAATTCCTTGGGTAATTGAAAAAATAGTCACAGCAACCTACACATTTTTCCTATTTATTTTTCTGACCTATTTATAAATTTGAGAGTAAAGAAGAGAAAGTACAACAAAAGATAACAAAGTGATGATAAAACTACCACTAAATGGGAATTTCAAAGTGAAGTACAGTACATTTTGCAGAAAATTGATCTTCAACTAAACCTTATACTTTCGGGGCAGATGAAAAATATTTTCCACATCAAAATGTCACCATCTTTCACAATTTTGGTAGTAAATTCTGACTTAGTGAGCTACACTGCTAGCCTAAAGGAAATACTAAATTCAAGACAACAAAGTACAATACAATCCTCTTGATAGTACATCTTTTTTCTCTGCTCAGTAACACAAACGGCAAATCTTTTCTGTGTCCTGTAGATATGTTTTTGCTTTTATTAAAAGTGTTAATGACACTGGTAAGCACCTTGAGGGCAGGGACCAGCACTATGTTACAAGACTCTTTGCTAGGAACTGGAGCAAAGACAAAAGGGGAATGAAAAGTTCTAAAGCATCTTAGAAAAATATATAATTAGTAGAATAGATATATTGCCCTTTTTCATGATTACTGAAACTACATTACAATGAATAGACCTTCTTATCATGAAGTGTACCTTCCACTTGTTTCAAGTTCTTCAACACATTCCTTTTCTTCCATTTTTTATAAGTAACATTTTAGAACAATTTCAGTTCCCAAACATGCACCCACCTTTCAAGGGGTGCCAGTTCTATGGGTTACTGATATTGGAAGCTATGAAAAAAAAATTAGTGTAATAAATACTGAAGCAAAGAAAAAGCTCATGAGATTTTCTTTCAATGTGGTCACTTTTCATTAACTACAAAAGGTAGTTATATGTTATTAAATCAGAAGCAGAATGAACATGTACCAAAATTTATTAATATACCAGCACTCAAAACTCAGAAAATATGTTGTTTTCATGTACACATACACGAAATAAAATAATACCATAACAGAAGGGTGCTGTATCTGTGTTTAAAGAAGGGGTTGTTGGCAAACACCACAGCTCACTTCTGCTGAAATGTACACAACTGATATATGCAGCACAGAAAGCTGGCACCAAGGGCTTACAACCTTAATTTGCCTGCAAGAAGGAACGGAGATTTACCTTCAGAGCACGTTCTTGATTGTTTTCAGCAGTCAGATGTCTCATGTTGTTTGCTGAAGTCTGGTTCTGCTCTTTCAGATGATGAAGCTCCTGCTCTAGCCGTTTGCACTGCCACAGGGGAAGAATCCCATTAAGTAAAGGAGTTAGAGCATTTTTTTTCACCAAGCCACATGAATTAATGTAAATAATATCATTGTATTCTCTAAAAACCAAAATATCTTTTGCAACAAGTTAAAAATAATGTTGAAGAGGAATAAAATAATGTTGTTTATAGTACTCAGTCAATTCAATTGCAGTTTGCAGTTGCCTTTCATTATACTAAATTTTACCATACAAATTAGAATAGCTATTTTTTATAAAATTACAATCAGATTATATTCAGCATTATTTTTCTTCATTAACCAAATGATATAACTTCTTGCTAAATTAAAGATGCTCTTAAAAATCACATTGGGTTCTAAATAAATTACAGATGATATTCTGTGATGAATCCTTACTCATTTAAAAATTGTCATAAAATACATATTAAGATTTTTTAAAATATTTTTAGAAATATCTAAAGGAACAATTGTGTAGGGAAAAACTAAGAGTCATAAACTGCTCTAAGACTAAGAAACAAGTTTTTTTAATTTCTCCTTTTTTGACTAAACCTTACTTTTAAGTAAAGCAAGTGGTAACAAACATGTGAAGTGAGATTTTGACTTACTGGAATTATATGAGAATATAAATAAAAAATAAAGTATAAATAAAAGGATAATTAGGCTAATAGAAGTGTCTATGTCCAAAAAAAAAAAAAAATCAGTGACATGTCATGCTATTTGAATAGGTGTCAACATGAATATACTGCATATTTTACAGAATAATTTTCAGGCTGTAAGCTGATATTCTGCAAATCAGAACCACATGAAGATACTGGGGAGAATAAAATACCAAACCACTTTTTACAAAAAAGTTAAAAATTGCTCATTTATTCTTAAATTTGGAATTTAAGTGATAACCCACAAGTACACATATACTGACATAAGGTTGACAGTCATTTCTAGAATATTTGACAAATAATTAGTTGCCTAATAAACGTTAAAAAAATCATTATTATGATGTAATTAAGATGCAGTTGTTAACATAGATTGGCATTTCTTACTACTCTAATGTTGATTTCCTCTGCCTCTTCAAAATAATTTACAGTCATATCAGTATTGCCCAATTTTAAATAATATACAAGTCTTTTTAGAAAGAAAAAGCCTTACTAAACTCCGAACGCTGATTTAAATTATATAATGATGTTTATAAACAAATATAAAATTGGGAACACAAGCCTCATGCATATGTAACACAAAATAAAACCAAAAAACATTTGAAAATCAAATAATCACAAAATTAAGTCTTTTACAATTAATAATGATTTAGTTTAGCAAATGCAGTTTGCCCATTTTGGCAAATATAGTACTGACACATATAGTGGCAGGTCCTTTTTACATTGTCATATCTGTTCCACTATGTGTTGTGTGACAACTGAAGTTACCTATCATTCTGCACATATTCTCAACTAGAATTATTCTCCATTTTCACTTAATTCAAAATTATTACATATTGAGTATTCAAATGCAATGACTTAATATGACCCATAAGGACACAAAGATGGCACAGTCTTGGCTCTAGATATGAAAGAATGTTCAAGGGTTTATTTGGAGTATATAATTTTATAAGCTGAAAAAAGAAGAATACACGAGAAAAGGAATGACAGTAGAACGTCAGGGATATATCTGGAAAAAGTGAAAGGCATGGTCAAGAGTTGTATGACCACCTAATTTTGTGTTCACAAGTAAATCAGAAATTATCTAAGAAACAATTTCTTTTTCTTTTTTTTTTAATAGAGGCATGTTTGTTTTATTTATTTATTTATTTGTTTGTTTGTTTGTTTTTGTTTATACATGCACTGGGTACAGTCAGAAGCGCGGGAGGGTGAGAGAATTCACCAGAGCCAGAGCGGGGAGCAGAGCAGGCAGAAGGACCGAAGTACACTGCTGAGGGGAGCAGCGGGCAGCAGGAGAGGTCTGCGTGCCATGTGGGACCCTCCTCCGGTGGCCGGGGAGCAGCCGGGGATCGAACCGGCGCCACAGAGGCTGCGGGCAGCTTCGCAACCCAGCGCTCAACCGCTGCGCCACCGGGGAGGCCCTAAGAAACAATTTCTTTCCTTTCTTCATGAAACACAAGAATACACTTACTCTTGATCCACCCCCCCCCCAAAAAAAAAAGGTAATAGAACCGGAGGTGGTTATGCTAAGTGAAATAAGTCAGAAGGAGAAAGACAAATATCGAATGGTGTCACTCACAGGTGGAATTATAGAGAAACGAAACAAAGGGTCAAACAAAACAAAACCTGTAACAAACCCCAGAAATCTGACTGTGAAATTGAGGCTACAAGACAGGAAGGTGGAGGGGAAAATGGTGTGGAGAGGGCACAATGGACTATGGTGGAGGACTCTGGGTGACTTGGTGGTACATGTGTTAGGGGGAAAAGGATGTCCTAAAGCTAATTCCATACAGGCTTTGTGGACTCCACCCCCACCCCAGGCCAAAGCCAAAGACACTGGGAACTCCAAATCCCATCACCACCAAAGGGAAGCTAGCTGGGACCTGAAGGTGGGGTTAAGCAGCCAAGTGAGTATAAAGACAGACACGTGGGCTTTGGGGGGGTTCCCCATTTTGGCTCTCCACCAGCTAGCAGCATCCGGCCAGCTCTGAGAGTGACTTTGGGTTTCCAAGTCGGCAGATGGGGTAGGACGCATTAAAGACTTTATTTCCCTATTTTCTCTCTGAGTTGTACATTTTCCTTATTTCCTTTTCCCTTGTAAATAAACCTTTTATTAACCTTTTGTGAGTGCCTGTAGTGGAGTATTAATAAGTCCCTTGTAAGCGCGCGGGTGAGGACCCACAGCCAGGCAACCTGTTCAATATCGGGGCTGTCCTATAACACATGTGGTATGGAGACATGCATCTGAGTAAGTGTGGGTCTATGCCTCTGAATCATACACAGTATTTTAAGTCAATGTTTCCTTAATAAAAATAAATGGTAAATGTATTTTCATATCTTCATGGGTTTCAAATTTAACATTGATGTGGAAATCAAACTGTATCAACAATAACTTTGAATTGAATAAAAATATATATAAACACTCATATCAAATACAAGTTTTTGATCTACATTTCATGATATTTAAGTTATTCAATCCTATACTTTTCTTTTTTTTAAAGATTTATTTATTTATGCATACAAGAGCTGGGGTACAGGCCAGAGATGAGGGGGGTGAGAGGATTCACCAGAGACAGAGTAGGGAGCAGAACAGGCAGACTGAGTGAAATACACTGCTGAGGGGAGCAGTGGGCGAGACAGGAGAGGTCTGCTGTGCCATGTGGGTTGCTCCCTGGCCAGCTGGGGATTGAACTCATGCTGTAGAGGCTTTGGATTGCTTCATAGTGTGGTGCTTAACCCCTTGTACCCTCAGGGAGGCCTCCAGCCCTATACTTTTCTACACTGAATGTTATACTTGACTTGCAGCTAATACTCTCTCACACATGCATTCTCATGTATAATTTCTTCTATTGTTTTTTAATAACTCTTTAATTTTAAAATTCATTTTGAAGCAAAGTGATTACACTTTTTATTACCAAGTGCTACAACATATTAATGACTGTCATTTTTTATTTTATGTAAGACAAAGATCTTACCCTTTAAAAAATATTGAAATTTTTCTTGACAATCTCACCAATACAGTCTTTATACATGCCTAGTTTTAAATTAAAATTATTTGTCACTTCAAATTTGCAGGATACAGGTAATAATTTAACAGAAAAGTGTGCACCTTCCCTAATACTACCCAAATATAAATAAATTTGCTAAAATTCTTTCAGATTGTTATAATATAAATCAATAGAACTTTACAAGGAATTTTGCTTCTTCAATTCACTTTTTCTCTCAGAATGAACCACTATTCTGAAGTGCATTATCATTCAAACAATATTTATTAAGCACTTACCATGCACTTGTAAGTTATAGCATTTAACAAAGTAGACGAAAACCCTGGCCCCATGGAAATCAATCACATTCTAGTTGGGAAAGGAGACAACAAAACAAATGAATTAAGTAAGTAGTATGATAAGAGGTGAAAATGTTATGGTGGGGGGGGTGGAAACAGATTAGGATTATAGGGAATATCAAAAAAAAATCTTTAATTTTACATTTTAAAATAGAAAAGATGTTTTAAAAAAATTTAAGTAGAAAGCACGTGACTGAGAAAGTAATTTAGAAAAAGATATTTGAATAAAGAACCTAAGATAAAGAAGTCAATCTTCAAATCTTTGGAAGGAATGGTTAAAATGAGAAGAACAATAAGTGCAAAGGTCCTGAAGCTTGTCTGGCATGTTTGAGTAATCAGGGAGATAAAAACTAGCTATGAGGTGAGAAGAGCCTTGAAGTCCTTATAAAGACATTAGGTTTTCTCTGAGCTGAAATGTTGCTGGAAAGTTTTCAAAAAATCACCACCATGTTTTGTGTCACAAATAGCATGAGTTCACTCTGATTGCTCTGTTTAGATTCTAGAAGGTCAGGGCACAAGCTAATGCATATTCCAAGAGAGAGCTGACTCAAGACTAGGATGTTGGCAGTTGCAACAGTGAGTAGTCAGACTGGATGTTTTAGAAGGTGCAATCATGAGTGCATTTAATTTTATTGACTGTTTTTTCCAGATGTATAAAAATGGTGAATGATCATGTGATTACTATGATGAACCTTAATTATTCATTAGAGATATTGTTTACACTCATTTGTTTATGTCTATGTGTGTGTATGAAAAAAAACAAGGTACCTTAATTTGGCTTCCACATATTTTATTTCAGACTGCTGGTATGTTCCTAAGGGAGATTTACCTATATTCCCTTTGCTGGGTGTCCTTTCCAGTTTTGTTATCATTGTCGAATTAACCTCATAAAGAGTTTTCCCATTTTAATCTTAGAAACAGCTTATTCTTAGAAAAGAATTGGTAAAACTCTCCTAGCAAACCATATAGTTTTCCTTCCAAATTCAAGTTCCTTTTTTTGAGAGGCACAGC